TAAGTCCAAGTCAAGTCTCGAGTCACTGGCCCATAAGTCCAAGTCAAGTCCAAGTCAAGTCCAAGTCGTCTGCTTTGAGCTTCAAGTCATTTCAAGTCTTTAAGCTACTAAGTACTTTGGTTTAGATTTTTGCAAGTTATATGAATTTTAAGCTAAATTTCCTGAAAAATCATGGTAAATTTATGCATGAGTATTTATATAAGAGTTATAGAAATGCATTTTCTTTTTTTAATGTCTTGACAAGATCTTAGTGTGAATCATGACGGTCAGAACAGAAAGAATTCAGATTAATAACAGTTAATTTGTCGTGTAATCTGCACTGAAATGGATGGATCAAGTTCTATGTAATTCCTTCTGTTTTACTGTATTATACTGTATATTACTGTAGTACATTTGAAGATACCACATCACAGTACTTCAGTTACTGTTGCCATAGTAACAAATGAAAAAAGTTAAGCACCACATTTATCAACTGTAAAGAGAAAAGTATTTTCTAAAAACATATATATATTTTTTTAGAAGAAGCATCAAGTCTTCTTAAGTCACAGGCCTCAAGTCCGAGTCAAGTCCCGAGTGAGTCCAAGTCAAGTCCCAAGTCTTCGTCCATTTTATTAAGTCAAGTCTCAAGTCCTTAAAATAGTGACTCAGGCCTGACTCGGGTCCAAGTCACGACTCGCAAATCCCCACCTCTGTGAAGTGGCGCCCCTCCCCCTTCTAATGAGATAAAACTAAAAAAAAAAAAAAACAGAAAGAAAAAAAAAGAAAACATAATTAAATCTTTTGCACCTGTTGCGTCTCGGTTTCACATGTGTAAAAACAGTGAGCGTGTTTTAAAAGTGTAGTTTGTCAGAGCAGCTTCACCACAGCTGTCACCACCCCTCCCCCTCCTCTCCTCTCTCTCCTCTCTCCTCTGCTCTCCCTCTTTTTCCCTCTTCCTTTCCCTTCTGTCTCCACCTCTACGACCTTTCCCTTCCCTTTCTCCGATCCTCACCCCTCTCCTCTCTCTTCTCTCTCTGTCCTCCTCACCCAAGATCTTCTCTCTCCATCACTTCTTCCATTCCTTCTTCTCTTCCTCCCTCCTTCCCTCTCTCTTCCCCTTGTCACTGTGGCCCCTGCGTAAACAAACAGAAGTTCACATTTGGAGCCCGAGAACCGCACCTGCCCCTCCGTTTTTTTTTTTTTTTTTTACGAGCGACGAGAGAAAGCAGCTCGGGCTCGCTCTCAGCTGGAGGAGGAGGAGGAGGAGGAGGGCTCGGCGCACTGTCCGCTCGTTTGAAAGTTGGCGGTGCGATTCCAGCTCCCACGGTACTATACTATACTGTCGTTGTGTCCTTGGGCAAGACACTTCCCACTCCACCTCTAGTGTCTGCGTACACTGGTGTGTAAACGCGAGTGGTGAGTGAGTTGTGAGTGGTTTCTTGACGGAAAGAGCTTTGAGTGACTTGAAGGTTTTGGAAAAGCGCTGTATATAAATGTGACCGTTTATAGATTACTACTGCAAATACTACTACTACTACAATACAGGAGCTAGTTATACTTATATAGGAAGTACCCGCAGTTGTAAGCATCAGTCGTGAGCAGTACTTGTTACATTTACTTGAGTTTTCGTCATCTTAACTTCATTTCAGAGTACTTTTAGCTGCATGCTTTTACTCCTACTTGGGTCATAGTTTTATTGAAGTAACAGTACTCTTACTTGAGTAAAAGAGTCAAAAGCTTCATGTGACAATCTGAAATTATTTGAACATTTGTGTTTCTTGTGTTTCTCCTTCAGAAATGCTTTTGTTTGTCTCATTTTTGTGTCCGTGCTTTGAAAATACTAGATTTTTGTGACACTTCAAATGATAAATCAGACGCTATAGTACTTGAGTAGTACTTTCCCCACTTACTTTTTAGTCTTACTTGAGTCATTTCTTGGACCACTACTTTGTACTTCCACTTATGTAACATTATTTTGAAGTAGCATTATGCAAAAAACTAAATCTCGTCAAGTTAAGATGACTTGAATTAAGAAAGTTTTATCATGATTTGAGTAAATTTCACTCGACAATTAAAAATATCTGCCAGTGGAACAAGACTTTTTGTACTTAAATATAAAAATACATCTTGCTTCAGTTAAAAGAAGAAATGAAATGTTGTTTGAATTAAGAAAAACACATTTATTCCATTCCAACTTGTCAAATTGAATCTACTCACATAAAGTAAAATGTTCTTAATTTAAATCAATTTAATTTACTGAGACGTCGTTTTTTTTGTTTTTTGTTTGTTGTTTGTTTTTTCCCCCAGTATACTCTTACTTGAGTCCAATGGCTACTCTATCTCCTCTCCTAAACATTCCCAATCATCATACACTTGCTGTGTTTAAAAGCGCACCAAAAATCCGATTGTAATCCGATTTCTGGACTTAAACACTGGCTGGCTCACGTGCACACTCAAAATCTGATTATAATCTGATTTCTGCACCTTTAAGATGATTTCTATGACACGGAAATGGCAAACCTGACGTGAGCGACCCGTATTGGAACTGATTTTGCTTAACTGAAACATAAAACTCCAAAAAAAATCTCATTATAATCAGATTTGGAATGGCAAAGCTTAAAAACAAAAGTGAAAGTGAATTATCTTTCTAAAAACCCACTCGCACGTGTCACCGGGCATTTTTGAAGATCAGATTTCTCTCGCGCTGTAAAGTGAAACCAAAAATCAGATCTCACTCTTGGGTTATCTGATTACTCTGGTTATCTGATTTCTCCAGGCCATTTAAATGTACCAGTGTCTCTTGGTTAAAAGGCACATTTTACACTAGTTTTTTGATCTAGAGTTGTGTTTTTTTTTTCCGATTCAAACATTTTTAACACAAAACCTGAGCGTCTTCTCTCGACCTAAACACTGTTCCACCTTGTGATGTCATGCGGCAGTACAGGAAGTGCTCTACTGTGTTTTTAAACTCCACGCAGCTTCACCAGAATCATTTGGTGAAACTTCAGTCCACGAATTTCCAATCTCCACTGAAAAAATAGAAAAGCTAAAGGAGCTGTTCACTTGAAAACCACCACTTCACGACATCACGAGGTGGAGCAGAGCGTTTTCAGCTTTGGAGTTGTACAGACAATTAATAAAGAGTTACTCAAACACATGTAAATCAAACAAAACGCAATTCCAGGTCTGTTTTAAATCTCACAAGAGTAAATGTTGCATAATATGGGACCTTTAATGTATCGTAAAAGACTGAAATTCAACTAATGAAATACGATACCGGATCAGATGTTTTTAGAATCATATCTTTGACAGTGCTAGTGTAGTGTGGAAGTGTTAGTTTGCATGTTTGGCTGCTGTTGTGGCTTGTATGGTTTGACAACATTGCCCCCTATTGTCTGTTTTAATAATAATGTTCTAGTCCAGTGTTTCTTAAACTGTGGGGCCTGTACTCGTGCTGTAACTCGTCTTGGTTGTAGTCAGGGATCTAATGCTTAACTTTAGGTGGATTTCGATGGGAATATGAGGTGTCAGCCGATGTTAAGTTTTGGTTTAGTCCTGGTTTATGTTTTTTGTTTTGTTTTGGGGTTTTTTCTCCTGAAAGTTTGCAATTTCCAACCAGATTTCCAACTATTCATGTCAGTAGAGACCTTCACGTGACAAACTAAACATGTGGTTCTATCCTTGTTTCAGAAATCCATACTATTGCCCTCAATTAAAACACTATACAGACTTCCTTTTTTTTTCTTCTGTTTTTAATGAAATTCGACTTTTCTGCAACAATGTCCTGAAACATCGGTGCTACTTACTCACTGCAAAAAAAAAAACTAAATCCAGCCAAGTTGAGATGACTTGAATTAAGAAAGTTTTATCATGATCATGAAGTCAAATGATCTGCCAGTGGAATAAAATGTTTTGTACTTAAAATATGAAAATACATCTTCCTACACTTGAAATAAGAAAAACAACACATTTTTTGCAGAAACAAATCAAATGTTGCTTGAATTAAGAAAAACACACTTACTCCATTGGTAGATCATTTTACTTGTCAAATTATATCAACTCAAATAAAGTAAAAGGCACTTAATTTAAGTCAAATTAATTAATTCATTTAATTTACCTAGATATATAATATATATATATATATATATATATATATATATATATATATATATATATATATATATATATATTTTCAGTGAAGTTTACTACCATACTCCAGACATGGGCAATGTACAGCTCCCGAGCCATAAACTGTCCTTTGGTTCGACTCTGACCAGCCCATTTAAGCACATTTGGAATTACAAAATAAACATATTTTATCATTTGACCTCATGCATGAAGTAAAGCAACATTACTTTTATTTTAGAGGTGTTTTTTATGATATTTCTTGTAAGGCAACCTCACTTTTTCATTGTTTAGTCATGACATAAACTCTTCCCAGTCTGACCAGCTCATCAAAACGATGACCTTTATGCTTTATAAAGAAATATAATTAATATTATGCAGAACTGAATTAAGCGTTTTGGCCTCAACAGTATTTTCTGTTTCTCATGTGGCCCCATAGGAAAAAATAAATAAAAATAAAATTGCCCATCCCTGATCTTACGCAGACCTTTGCGTCACCGACACATCACAGACATTCTGTGATGGCAACAATTCCCGAGATCGAGGATTTAAAGTCGGAACAAAGAGAATGTTTGGTGAAAAGACGTTATTGCCCTTCCCCTTTGGTGCATTACATACGTCACGACCAAATAGCAGCGTCTGGTTAAATAAAAAAAAAAGTACCCACCTACCGTCAAGCGAACGAATCCTAATGCTGCGAGGTCAGACGGTGAAGCCGGCTGATGAATCAGGCTTAATAGAGACAAGAACCTCCACTGGAAAAAACTGACAGTGTACATTTAATTTATAAGTCATTTTGTTTTCCCAGTGCTTTTCATCAATGCATGTAGTAAAATATATTTGTGATGTAACATGCTCTCCCTGACCCTGACCGTGCTTCTGTTGTGTATCTGCAGATCGTGAGTCCAGAGAGCACGAGGAGACCATGGGCCCCGAGGTCACAGAGGAACTGGCCCCGGCCAAAGTCCCCCTGCTGCCCATCGTCAACAGTAAAAAGGTCCACGCTCTGCGCAAGGAACAGAAGCGGAAGCTGGGGAAGCAGAGGTCTATGGGCACTCCCATGGACTACTCCCCTCTGCCCATCGACAAGCACGAGCCCGAGTTTGTGAGTCCACACTTCACTTCTGTCTCTGCCGCCTGGATTGAACCTGTGTGTCCCTGTCTGTGGTCCCTACCCCCCCTTACCCTCCTCTGTGTGTGTGTGTGTGTGTGTGTGTGTGTGTGCTACAGTCGTCTTACTTTCCTCTTTACATGTGTGTTTATGTGTGTATGGTGTGTAGGGTTACAGTGCTCTAACCCAGTGTTTCCCAGACTTTTTTTCTGGGGATCCATAGTTTAAAAGTCACAAACTTTTGACCCAAGTCAACAGACGTTATTCGTAAATCACAAAATAAAGGTGGATTTGAGTATAGTTGAACATTAATGAGGATATTTTATTGCTGACTGAGTGATCGTGTCTCTGAACAGTTGTATTACTCAAGTTTTAAACAATGAAAAACAGTCATTGAAGCAACAATAATAGGATCCACAAGTCGCCTATTTGGACTTTAACTGTAGAACATTTATTTTTCTTTTCAACATTCAACTTAACCACCAATATTGAAACAAAATAGTCAATAAAATAATTAGATCATGACAAGGCAACCCCCAAAAAATCCCAGTGTGTCCTCCCCCTCTCTCTGTGTGTGTAGGTTGTGTAGGGCTACAGTTGTCTAACCGTCCTGTTTCTCTGTGTGTGCTTTAGGGCCCGTGCAGGAGGAAGTTAGACGGCATCATTCAGGGCATGAAGGACACATCTCGGGTCTTTTCTCTGTCTCTGTATCTGCCCAACTGTGACCGCAGGGGCTTCTTCAAACGCAAACAGGTGAGAAACACTGTCTGATCTTTGATAGAATGTTGTTTCCTCGTCAAAAACATCACTGGAGTCGTGTTTTGTTTCATTCACACATGTTTAACACATAAATCCTGCATATGTAAGTTGACCTCTTCTGGTCAACCTTGTGACGTCATGTGATAATTCAGGAAGTGCTCTACTTGGTTTTTAAACTCCATACATCTTCATTTAGATCAGGGAGTCTCCAACTTGTAGCTCGGGATTTACCTGTAGCTCTCCACCCACTTCACTCCAAAAGATTTTTGAATTCTATTTATTGTGCTGAACAGGTACAATTGGATTAATTATCATTGTAACTACATTATTTTTCAGGCCTAACTTTGCGCACTGATAAATGGATAATGGTTTTATAGTCATCTAACTGTTCCACATCTAAGACATGCTGAGGCTCTTATATAATCTCAATTTCTTTGCGACGGCTAAAATAGGAAGCTCTCTGGCATTTTCATTTTGTAAAAGTAGCTCACTGGAGGAAAAAACGTTGGAGACTCCTGATTTAGATCATTTCAGTCCTGAAAATGCTGTAAAGATAAAGACTGCTAACTTGAAAACTACCACTTCATGACATCACAAGGTAGAACAGAGAATATAGAGCTTTGGAGATGTAGACGGAGTAGTACGGAATGACAAATGTGTGAATGAAACAAAACACAACTCCAGGTACGTTTTAGAGAAGCAACAACATTCTAAAAGGGCTTAAAGCTCACCAGCTGCGTTATACGGGACCCTTATGACGCACACTAACCAGCCCCCGTGTTCTCCCTCTAGTGCAAACCTTCCCGTGGTCGTAAGCGGGGGATCTGCTGGTGCGTGGACAAATACGGCGTCCAGCTCCCGGGGACGGACTACAGCGGCGGGGACATCCAGTGCAAAGACCTGGAGAGCAGCAGCACGAACAACAACGAGTGACGGACACGGGACTCAAACAGACTTATGGACCCAAGACCCACCTGACCCACAGCTCTGCCCACAAACTCACACCTCCAAGCCCCCAGTCCTCCGCCAGACCTCCCTACAGGAACCCGGAAGTCTCAAAACGATGGCATCAGGCTGAAAAAGTTGTGATTTTTTTTCTTTTTTGTTGTCTTTTTTTTTTTTTTTTTCTTTATTCGTTTGTGGTCGACCAAGCACTCATCGCGACGGAATGAGCCGACTGGACTTTCCCGCACACTTTGGATATGTTTTGGAACGCTGGGGCCTTTTTTTTTCAAGCAACAGTTTGGATTTTGTGATTCTGAAACTGCGACAAAAACAACAAAAATGTCAAGTATTGGACAAATCTTTTGAAAAAAAAAAATACTGGACTAGCCTGGTCAGCCATCAGTGAAATCAGCTTCTTGGTTTGATGAATTTTTCCAACTGGATCCTTTAACGCAACTGAAACGGCATAAAACCAAACAGCAAATATCTTTTTTTTTGGTGAATTTGAACCATTTTTGTCAAACCGCATTTATTTTTTTAACAACATTGGAATTGGAAACAAAGAACAAAAATGATTCTGAAACTGAATGCTTATGGCAACCCAGGCTAGTCACAAACACTGTAGGATTCCATCGTGATTTGGGTTTATCAAAAAACATTTAAAAAGAAATCTAGAGAGAAAAAATATTAAGAATTTTGCGGTTTAGCCAGAGCACTTAAAAAGTCTTTACTATGGGTTTGTATTGCGTGGAATGAGCCTATTTTAAATGAATGTCTTTTTTTTTTTTTTCTTTTGCGCTTGGTCTTCTAAACCTGATCTCCGTCTACGGATTGAAAATAATAAAATATACATGTGAAGGGGCTCTTTTGACAATGTAGCTAGCCTGATTTGCCAATTGTGCCTCTCAACGACTTACCATGCAGGGAGATATGCGGTTCTACGGTGGCTCTATTTGTCCAAACTTAAGAAAAACTCAAACTGGTAACCTCCTTTTTGAGTGTCTAGCCTTCTATTGACTTAGCAAATTTGTGTGACGTACTGATACTTTGCATTGACATCGTGCCGGCGGGGTCTGCGTGTGTGTCTATGGACAAAACACTGCCAAAAAAACGGTTGTAGTCCCGACTGAGTCAATTCTTTATGGTCAGATTGTGTTAAAATCGCTCAGATTTAAGTCCAACTCGAGTAACGCACTGCAGAAACTAAAATCTAACCAAGAATTAAGAGAGTTTTACGATGATTTGAGGAAATTTCACTTGACAAGTCCAATTAAAATATGAAAACACATTTTACGACAGTTAAAATCAGAAAAAACAGCAACTCTTTGTATTTAAAATAAGAAATTAAATCTGTTTCTTGAATTGTCAAGTTGAATCTACACAAATAAAGTAAAAACGCTTTTAATTTAAGTCATTTTAACTGACACAGATGTTGCTTTTTTGCAGTGCAGAGCTTCAGACGGAGCAGTGCCTCTAGTTAGGAATATCGATGACTGCAAAGTATCAGTAGTTTTAAATACTTCTGGCATCAAGGCTTCAAGTTGTGTCCCTTCAAAAGTACAGCTGTAACTTTTTTATATTACCGATCGTCGTAGAAATCTATGTGTGGACAAATTTTAGTTTTTTGAATCTGTTTTTCGGCTGTGTTAAGAAAGCAAAACCGTCCACAACTGTTAAATAAGGTCTGAACAGGGTCTGTCAATCAAATCTCTCTGTGTGCCTTCTACGGTGGCCTGGAAGGGCAAAACGAGTCTACAAAACCTGCATGAGAATTTTCGCAAGATAGAAAATGTAAATATAAAAAGGGTAGGTGCGGTTTGAAAAGGCGTAAGAGTTTGAGATGGAATTTCATCATATCTACAGCAGGGATGTAACGATAACCGAAATATCGCGATATCGTATCGTCAAAAGTCTCAAAATAATATCGTGGGCTGTCGCAATATATCGAATTACAAGTTCCTTTGTTTAAATGCGTGGTTTTATAGCTGCAACAGCTTATGAACATCAGAAACTTCATATCCCATGATTCATTTCAGTAAAAACAACATGAAGAAATTTGTTTTTACTTGAATTCTTGGGATTATGATGGAAATAATTCACACCAAAATCTTGTCAGCAGTAACAACACCTTATGAACATCGGAAACTACGCATCCCATGATTCATTTCAGTGCAAACAACACAAAGAAATATGTTTTTACTTGAATTCTTGGGATTATGACGGAAATAATTCACGACAAAATCTTGTCATGGTAGTTGAAAAGCAAAAAAAAAAAGAGTCTTCTCCAAAATATCGCAATAAATATCGTATCGTGACATGCATATCGTGATAATATCGTATCGAGAGAGTTGGATATTGTTACATCCCTTAACTACAGGCAACTACGGAAGCCTTGCAGGGACATGTTATTGCAAAATTAGCAGTAGCATGCAACAAAACCTTAAGCTCAACTTATATTTTATTTTTGATTTCTTTCCACTTTTTTTTTTTTTTTTTTTTTTACCCTGTTTTACATCACATACAAAAAAACAAAAAAAAAGTCCAAAAATGTGTGCATCTTTGACTAACCCGCTCAATTCAGAACCACAACCAAACTTATCTCCGTAGAAATCATGAATTCATACATTTGGTTCATTTTTATTTCGTTTTTTTAAGGGACAAGATGGATTTCTGTGAATTTGAAAACTCAGATTTCACGAGAAACCGGCTGCTGAACAATATACAGAATTTTACAAAAAAAAACTTTAAGATGCCACAAACAAAACAAAAACACATGAAATGAAATGGACTGTTCACTGTTCATTTTTGGTAAACCTTGAATCTTGTTTTTCTGTTCTTCTGCAACTCGCCATTGTCACTTTTCTGGCTTCACGATGTTAAATACGTGTATGTTTTACCCTGTAGAAAACAAAATGTAAATATGTACAGTTGTTTCCTATTTTTTGTAAATTTATTTTGTCCTTCCCGGCCACCGTAGCCTTCTCACATCCAAATACGAACTCCACAATCGCGACGTGAAAGTGACTTGGATACAATGGGGCTATTTCTCGGGTGCTCTTCTTTTTAAATCATAAAATTTTTGTCGATTCTGGGGCAAAAAAATGACCGGAAAATGGACGATAAACCACTTTTAGAGACACTTCTTCATTCTCGGATAAGCTATGACGTTTTTTGTGATTGCCAATGCATTTGATGCCAGGGAAAGGGGAAGCCGTAGGATTTTCAGTTGGATCCAAAAAGGCTACCGGCCCGTTGGATGTCGATTGGATCCAAGATGGCGACCGGTTGTGGATTTCTTTAGCCCCTCTTTTTCAACACCAAACTCCACTTTCGAAAAAGCTGCTTGCACTTATCTCAGTTACTCTTGAAACCGACGCACAACAGTGTTCGAAAATGTGGTTATGACCTGGGCTTGGTATTACCAGAAGTTACGCGAAAATAGAAAATGGAATAATAATTTGAAATGTGGCAAAAGTGTGTCAGTTTAGATCTACAACATGTTCTGAAATGCATGAGATTTGATTTTTATTTTGAGTTTGTGCCAAGATATATACATTGTAAACAACAGAAAAGCACATTTCTCGAAAAGGCGTGGGAAAAAGAAAAAACATATAATATATATTACCCCAACCCTGATCATGACATAGTTTCAAAAATTACACAGTATCTTATGTACATTGATCAAGGACCTTTGCAAATATTTAGATATAGTAAAATAAATGTCATACTATGGTCGTACAAATTAATAATAATGATAAAGACGGCACAGAAGTTTATCGTTTATAATCATATCAGATAAGCAAAATGAGAAAATTCTTGTCAGATATAAATAGATCCTTACACATTAAGTAGGAGGCAGCAGCAACATGGGTACATCTTCACCCTCTGACGGCAAGGTACTAATGAAATACTAGTACGTGGTGTATAGATTTTATGATTGTAATTTTCATATTCTAACACAAAGGTCTCATCCTGTTCTAAAAAAGTGGACTCAGGACATGTAACCTCACCCTCAGTGATTGCCTACAGCAGGAGTGTCAAACTCAATTTCACAGAAGCCAAAACTAAAAACTGGGACTAAGTTGTGGGCCAAACTAAATATTTATTGAAACATTTCAACAACATCTGCATGTTTTCTCTTCTTCTCTTCTTTCGAGATATATAACGATTAACATTTTCTTATTCAAATAAATGTTTAATAATAGTTTTCCTTAAACAGTGAATTCAGAACAAGCATCTAATACATATTTAATATGATATCGTGGGCCAAATTTAGTTTGACATGTCTGGCCTACAGTCAAATGAAGCTCACTGTGCCGCGTAGGGGGGCGAGACATTCCTATTTCTCCGGGACAGTCTCAGTTTTGAGTCCTGTGTCCCCCGTCCCAGTGGATTTATCCAAAACCAATGATTTGTCCCAGTTTTTTACAAGAGATGTACCAGGTGTCCCTATTTTTGACCAATTTGATCTCTGCCACCAGTAAAAAGAGGCATAAATTGTCATTTGTTTAGGTAAAATGCCAAAAATCTACGTAAAAACGACCAAAACATAAAGAAAATGTGACTATACTGACTCACATGTTAGTCCTGAATAATCTCTGCATAACAGTTTTCCTTTATTACACACTCGTTTCACAATTTTATTATTACCAACCATGAAAAAAACAGGGATGTCCCAGTTTTTTTTTCTGTTTTTTTTTTTTTTTATTCTTGTCACCCTGTGCTAGCAGTTATATGAGGGAATTTAGAGGCAGTTCCATATTAGGAAAAGGAATTTAATTATGCCAAAAAAGTGAAATAAAAACACCAGGATCATGTAGAGCAGGTTAATAAGAACATTTTAAGACCAAAATGACCAGGTTCATAGCAGCAGGCATTTTTTCAATGTAAAGTCAAAATTGGAGCCAGAGTCGATGGAGCCGGAAGTGCTTCCACGCTCACTTCCTATTTGTCGTAAACGTGCTAATGCCAAGCCCGGGTTCTGTAGAAGTTAGCGGGAATCAGCCACAGAAGCTAAACGTTGTGTTGTCTTGTGCGTTCTTTTTAAAATGTTTGTCGACAGGGGCTTGAGTTTAGCCCACGCCAGGGACCTCCAGTTCTGTAGTGACTTTAGGACGGATTTGGGATGTTCTCAGATGCACAGAGGAGGGGCGGAGGAGGAGGGGTAGAGGAGGGACAGAGAAGGGGGCAGAGGAGGCAGAGTGAGCTAGCACCATGGTCTTTTCACTGACTTTAGGTAGAAACAGTTACAGAGCCGCGGGAGTCCGAGGAACACGGATTGGTGCTAAAACGTAGCAGACTGAGTTAGCAAATGTTAGCTTTGTGGCTAATGCTAAAGGTGGCTAATGCTAAAACTAAATGCCAAATATAGACGATACGATTTGAAGCCTAAAAGTTGGTCACGACGATGATTTATTGTCAAATTTCAATAATTTCTAAGCAAAATTTGACTATGTTAGCTTTGTGGCTAATACTAAAGCTACCAAATACAGTGGCTATGTTCTGAAGGCTAAAAGTCGTTTACGACGATGATTTTTTGTCAAATTTGAATCATTTTTAAGCAAAATTTGGCTATGTTAGCTTTGTGGCTAATGCTAAAGCTACCAAATATAGCGGCTACAATCTGAATGCTAAAAGTTGATCATGACGATGATTTATTGTCAATTTTGAATAATTTCTTCACAAAATTCAGCTCTGACGGGAAAA